CCTTAACCAAGTAAGCTCAGTCTAAGCCTTCTGATTTCACCTTACCTGTCCCATGCCAGGGATACTTCCTATGAGCCTATGGGCCACATCCCTTTCTTGAATGCTAGTTTTTCCAGCACTGTGTTGCTTTCCTTCATAGGAATTAGCTTCATTTCTGAGAGTGCACATCTACCTGTGATAATTTAATAAGTGTGTTTCCCTTGCAAGACCATTAACTTCATGAGAGCAAGGACCAACTTGTTTGTTGACACTCCCTATGTCATTCTTATGCTAGAAAGTAGGCTCTGAGTGGAATTTTCTGGCTGAATAAAGTAATTAATACTTGTTCCTGGAGTTACCACACCTCCTGATGGTCACCTCCCCACTTCCCAGGCAAAGGGTCACCAAGAGCCACACCATGGCTTCTCTGCACCCCCAGGACTGGTCCCAGAGCTTGGAGTGTGCTGTCTTCCTGGCCCATTTCAGCCCATATAAAGGGCCTACTCCCCCCTTCTTCCACCTTGGCATCAGAGATGTACCAATTAGTCTTTCATCCTCACCTTCTTATTCATTTCCCTTTGGTATCATTTCGTCCAGTCTTTGTAGGACTCATCATTTGGGCTGATAAATAGTAATGGTCATCTTTCCTTGGGATCAGCTGTACTTGGGACGCATGTACCTAGTGGTTATGTCTGGGAGAAGGATAAACTAGATCACTCCCTGCTTAGGGAGCTACCCTTTTGATTTCATACCTCTCAAGGAGGCTAGGTGAATAGCAGTCCTCTGGAATAGACCTCGGCAGCTGCCTTAGCTCACGCTGTTGGTCTTTGTCTAAAGTATTCAGTCCACTTTCTTGAAAAGCTTCCCTTCTACTGTCTACACTCAGTCATTGACCATGGGCACACTCCACATCAAGTTATCAACACTTACGGCCAACCCGTGAGCTCTGATGTGACCACTCTTGTCAACTTGGAGCAGAGCCTCCTGAGAATTGAGAATTACTCAACTCACTGGCTCCTTCCAGTTCCCCTTGCAGTGCCACACCACCAGATGGCTTTGTGTGGCAGGAGGCTAACCTTGACTCCCCTCACAATGACACCCCTAACCTTGAGGGTATCGTTGGTGCCATCCTGCCCCCCTCACTCACCCTGGCTACAGTGCAGGTCAGAGGTGCAAGCTGTGGCTGAGGAAATGCTGGAGGACTCATGGCCACAGGTCAGCTCCCCCTGCATTGGTGGGGTCGAGCTGCGGTGCCCACCAAGTAAGGGCTGGCATGCTGGTATGGCATGGGGTTGGGTTGTGGTTGTGGATCCCGCACTTACTGACTGTGGATTGTAAACAACTTAATCAACCTCTTGAGTCCTCAGTTTTCCTCATCTATGAGGATTTCATGAGGTACTTGATGTTTGGTGCTTGGTTGTAAGGATTTGGCTGGTCCTAGGTTCTGGAGCAGGCAGAGTGAAGACACTCACCTCTGGAGGGGAGGGTTTGCGGAAGTGGAGGATGGGGTAAGGGTAGAGCAGAGGGGAGCTCCCAGGACCTACTCCAGGGCTGGGGCTGTCCCTCAGGGCCCAAGGGACTGGGCTTAGTTTGCTTCCCACACCTACTGGGTATTTATGTGTCTCCTCCTTCTTCTCTGTTCTTCCTTCCTCCCTCCCTCCCTCCCCTCCCTCATTCCCTCCCTCACTCCTTTCTTTTCTTCCTTCCCTTTTCTTCATTTCCTTTCCTTTCCCTTCCCTTCCCTTTCCTTTTTCCTGCCATCTCTCTCTCTCTCTCTTTCTTTTTTTCACTTTGAATCACCTCTTCTGTCTGATACTTCCAGAGTACCTTGCAGTGTTTCAGTGATGTCATTTTCGGTCTCATACAAGATGTGCGGCTGCTGGTTGTTCATGCTTATGACCCTAAAACCAGTCTAAGTCACTGGAGATGACAGGCTGAGGTGTATACCAAGGCCAGGCAGGCACAGGATGGTAACAGGAATGTGTTGCAGGCAGAAGGGGTCTGTGATGATGTTACCATCATCTGGGCCAGCGTCCAACCCTGGTGATTCACTCTAGGTTTGCTGGGTCCAGCAGAGGGCTGTACCATCAAGACACTAAACAGTCTGACAGCCCCTTGCCTCTCCCCAGACCATACAGGAAGAGCTAAGTGGCTCTGAGTTGGTGTCCACTGAGTGTGCCAACTTGTGTCCACATGGCAGAGCCCAGGACAGGAAGTCAGTGTCCCTGTCACACAGGACAGACGTGCTGTGCTACCTGCCTCCCAGCCTGGCACACCATCTCCCACTCTTGTTCAAGAAGCTTGGGGTCTGACCTGGCCCCTCTGTTCTCTCAGCCCACCCATAGCAAGGAAGGCCACCTGACACCCCTTGTGAGCCTAGTCGCAGCCCCTAGGACAATCTGGAATAATTTGGACTATCCTGACCTTGGTCTGGACTGCTTACAGAAGACTGGCACCAAGTTGGCCTGCCTGTGGGTTCTGTTTCCACCTGGCATCTCCATTCTTGTGACTGGGTTTCTGGCTTTTGCTAAGGCCCTTCATATGCCTGCACCTGTGATCCCTGCTCAGAAACTGGTCTTCACAGAACTCGGCTTTGGCCTGCATCACTTCTCCTTAGCTCCCCAAACTGGAATCTATCCCTTGAATCTTCTTTTCCCTGTCTCTCTGTGGAATTATCTATCCATCTACCTATTTATTTTTGTCACAGCTTTGTTGAGCTATTCACATACCATTACGATTCACCCACTTAAAGTATACAACTCAGTGTTTTTAGTATATTTAAAGAGTTATTCAGTGATCACCTCAATCAATATCAGAACCTTTTTATCACCCTAAAAGGAAACCCCATACCCACTGGCACTGGCCACTCTACCTTCCTCCAACCTGAGGCAACCATCAGTTTTCTTTCTGTCTCTATGGATTTTCTTATACTGGACATTTCATATAAATGGGATCATGTAATATACTGTCCTTTGTGACTGGCCCCTTTCCCTTAGCATAATGTTTTCAGGGTTCATCCATAGTGTAGCATGTGTCAGTGTTTTATTTATTTTATTGCTAAGTAATATTCCATTGTATGGATATACCATTTTTGTTTATCTATTCATCAGTTAATGAACATTTGCCTAATTGTAGGTCATGAAAATTTGCCCTTATGTTTTCTTCTAAGAGTTCTACAGTTTTAGCTCTTACATTTAGGTCTTTGATCCACTTCAAGTTAATTTTTGTATATGTTGTGAGGTGGGTGGTAAAAATCCTTTCCTTGGCATGCTGTCTGGCACAGTTTGTTGAAAAGACTATTTTCCCCCATTGAATTGTCTTGGCACCCTTGTTGAAAGTCAGTCAGTTATAAATGTGAGGGTTTATTTCTAGACTCGATTCTGTCCTATTGTCTGTCCTTATGCCTGCACCACACTGTCTTGATTATAGTAGCTTTGTGGTACATTTTGAGATCAGAAGTGGAAGTCTTCCAGCTTCGTTCTTTTCAAGGTTTTTTGACTCCCTTGTATTTCCACATGGATTTTAGGTTCAGTTTGTTAATTTCCGCAAAGAAGCCATTTGGAGTTTTGATGGGCATTGTGTTGAGTCTTTAAATCAATTTGGGAAGTATTACCATCTTAACAATATTAGGTCTTCAAATCCATGAACATGGGATGTCTTTCCATTCATTCCCTGAATCTTGAAACTGCCCAGTGCTGCATACCTGTGCAACTCTGTATCTTTGCATATTGCCCACCCCTGGAAATTCAGCCACCGTGTTTTGCCCTGTAAGGTCTCTTACCCCTATACCCCATAGGCCTTTAGCCATATTTGCCTCCCTGACTTGGCTTCCTTCCACTGTCAGCAACTGCCATGCCAACCGTGGGGGCACCTAATTGTCAAGTCCCAAATCAAACTACTCTGGACCACCCACTGTCTACCAATCTCTTAGCTCACAGTCTCCTCCTTGAAGCTGAGGATTCATGGTTATGGGGAGAATTTTCCATCTGTATCATTTCCCTGTGGTGCAGCCAGAGTTGGGAAATAGAAACAGAAGATCACACACATGTGGAAACTTGCAAGAAGGTCCCAGTATCCTGGAGGAGGGGATCTGGGAGACTAAAGGTAGAGGTGGCTTGAAATATCTCAGGTCGGGACAAGCAACGTTGTCTGTGCTGACTAGGTCAGCTCACCAGCACACTTTCATTTATGGAGAATGTACAGGATCCTCATGGCAGGACAGTAGCATAGGTCCCTGAATCCTCTCTGTGTCCTCTCTCCCCACCAGGACCAGGAAGTTTATTTCCACAAAGTAGTCCTTGACAATCAGAAATGCTTTATTTTTCCTGCCTGGGACTGAGAGAAATTGGATAGTTCAGCTTTCCCCTGCAAGCAGGGCCTTCTGAGCCTGGATGCCTGCCATGCCCATGCAGAGACTGGCAAGTGTCACTTCCTTGGGCTTTGGCATCCCTCAACGCAACTGCCATTTCAGCCTTCCACCTGAATATTCCAACAATAGCAAGTGATGCCTGTACGTGATAACACTGGGGCAAATGCTTCCAGAAGGCTGGGCATCTGTGCTCTAAGGACTCCAAAATAGAGTCTATTAACAATGCATAAGTAGACCGTTGTACACTTTGTGCTGATATGAATAAAGATGGGTTGTTTTTCAGTTTGAATTTTCTGTTCTAGGTCTGTAAGGCATAGCTTCGGCAGGTGGAAAAGAAAACCTCCATGGGTGCCAGTTGTTCACTACTGAGAACTTAAGAAAACCCGTGCATCACCAGGGGTACCTTAGGTTAATGGGCTTCTGTTACCCAGAGCTCTATTTTAACATCCTAAACTGTTATATCTATAAAAATTCTTTGACACCTTTCATCTAGTTTAGGTTAATCTACACTAGTCACAGACAAACCCTGAAATACATGAGAATGTATTTCTCACTCATGATAAGTCTCCTGACCATTGCCTTGGGGCCTTGGGGAGGGTCAGTGGCCTCTAAGCATCTCTCCGTCCAGCTGATAAAGTCCTTGTGCCTCCAGGTGTGGCTCTGCGGGGGCAGCATGGAGGTCCTGCCTTGCTCACGAGTGGCCCACATCGAGCGGAAGAAGAAGCCTTACAACAGCAACATTGGTTTCTACACCAAGAGGAATGCCCTCCGGGTTGCGGAGGTCTGGATGGATGATTACAAGTCTCACGTGTACATAGCGTGGAACCTGCCACTAGAGGTAAGGGGTGCAGCCTTCCCCATCGCCCTGGACGAGTGGTCCTGGGTTTGATGGGTCACTGATCCCTTTAATCAGTTGACAGTTCCTCCCCAGAAAGATGCTTACACTTGCAAAAATTATAAGAGCGTTTTGAGGGGTTTCACAGACCTCCAGGTGGTAGAACCCCTACTTTACATGGGGACTGGCACAGTGGGGAGCTCAAAATTCATTTACAAAGAGTAGAGGATCTTGTTGTGTTAATCCCAGTCATGTTCTAGTAATCTGGATGCCCTACTCCTGAACAAGCATTGTATCCAGGAGATTCTCGACCAATGGTTTTGGTACAGGCCCCCATCATTTGCTCTGACTTTGTGCCCTCCCCTGAAGCTCCAGCTGCCCCCAAGACATATGCCCCTACTGTTTACATGACTCTTCAAGTCTCCTCCATATCCTGCCCAGAATACTGAAGCCCCACAGGAGTATTGCATGGTGGCTGTACACTAGCTTGGTTGGAATCCTGCTCTACCACTTACTAGTTATGCAGTCTTGAACAAATCCATTTATCGCCTTTGTCCCTTAGGTTCCTCGCCTAAAAATAGCGATAATAGCAAGTCCTCTTTCCTAGGGTGATTGGGAAAACTAAATCTAAAGTACTTGCTTAAGTAGTAAGTACTAAGGTACCCAATCTAAGTACTAGAGTACTCAGTTTAAGTTCTGAGTCCTGAAATGCTCGTTATAGGTACTTAGGTCCGTAGCACAGTGGGCTGACCAGCACCCTCAGCCATGCCCTGAGAGAGTTGCCTGGAATTGTTCCCACTGAGAATTGGCAGCCCCTGCGTTTCAGGAGGCTGAAGCCCAGAGCAGCAGAAATACAGTTGAATATGTGTAAGAATTATAGATGAAGAGGATAAAAGTGAAGAATGTTTATCATATCGTTACAGCTATTGAAATAATGTTCTAAAGCATTGACAGTCCCTTACTGCCGTATAACACTTGATAGGTGTTAAGCCAGAAGTGATTCTACACATGATTATTTATATAAACATAGGTAACACTTGCTGAGCCCTTGCTATGTCCCTGGTGCTTGGTAAGTTCCTTATTTGCAATATCTCATTTAGCACCCATAATAACCTCCAGACGGAGTTTTCTATGCCTCAGTTTCATCATCTGTAAAACAGGGATTGTTAACTTTGAGCACTTCTTCATTCTCCTGAAGATAAATATAAGGCTTAGAACAGAGCATAGCAAATATTAAGGGATCAATAAATGCTAGCTTGACCTGGACCTATGTGCAGTCCATTTTACGGATGGGCAAACTGAAGCTCTGGGAAGTTAAACATGACTTGCTTAACGTCCTACCCATAGCATATGGCAGGGCAGGGATGCGAACTCACATCTTTATTCGACTCTCCCCACAGCCCTGTGGACATCAGCACAATCGGGATTGTCATTCCTGCTTGTGGGTGAGAAGTTGTGACCTACAATGGCATTGTTACTCAGAGTAACAATAAGAGTTCAAGGCTGCTGGCTCTGTCCCATTGCTTTCTCCAGACAACCTCTGGTCCCTGATGCCAGCAGTACCCTCCTGGGCTTTTCGACAATGGCCATTCTCTTTCATTATGCTTAAGCCTGTTAAAACCAAGAGTTAAGATATCACTGTCCAGGTTTGCCTTTGGGTCTTAAAAGTTTTACTTTTAAGGGGATTTTCCTTTAAAATCACCATTTGGCTGTTGAAAGAAGAAATCTTAATGGAATAATGTGAACTCTCCCTGGCCCCCAAGTTGCTGCCTGGCTGCCCGCCATTGTAGAGACAGCACCCCATCCCTCCTGGACCACAGCCATCTTGTAGCAGAGTCTGTGGAGTCATATTTCAGCTACTCTATTTTCCCCTGTCAGCACACGGCAGCCCATTACAGGTTCATTTCTGTAAAAGCAGAGTGAATTATTCATTAGAACATCATTACAAGCTTTGCCATGGAAAATTATTTTCACTTCTGTGTATAATGAACTTCACAAAGAGCCAACAAAGGGGGAAATCACACTTGTAGGGAGCAGAAAGACAGGAGGTGGTTATAGGCATTTATTTCCTTGTCTTAATCAAATAATTCCTCTAATAATTGGCTCGGAGAGTTGCTGAGGATGTGCGGGAGAGATGGAGCTGGGTACAAAGGTTGTCAATATCTGTGTGTCCCAGGGTCCCTTTCGTGTGGTGACAAGGGTAGTTGACTTTGGGGGCTGTGAGTTGCACTCAGGGGACAGCGGTCTAGCTTGGGGCTCTATGATCAAGTGAGTCCCCTTAAACCTACTTTCTAAGCAAGTGTGCAGGACTTGAGGTTTCTCCCTGATGCTTTCTTTGAAGACCACCTGTCCTCTCCTCTGGCTGGGATTCCCCCGTCACAAACGCCCCTTGCTTCTCTCTACTTTCAGAATCCGGGAATTGATATAGGCGATGTCTCTGAAAGAAGAGCCTTGAGGAAAAGTTTAAAGTGTAAGAATTTCCAGTGGTACCTGGACCACGTGTACCCAGAAATGAGAAGATACAATAACACCATTGCATACGGGGAGGTAATTAAGACCATCCATACATGCTCTCAGCTTGGATAGCTATGCATTAGGCTGGGGACTGCTTTGATGGGGGAAAATAGAGAATAGAGTCATTCATTCATTCATTCATTCATTCAAGAGTGGTTTTGGAGGTGCAGGACCGGGAAGCAAGACTCTCACCAGCTGGTGGGGGGACAGCATAATAAATGTTACAGTGGGGGCATGGACCAAAGGTTCTGGTGGCCTGTTCTGCCAAAGGGTATGGAGTACATGATCAGTTCTGCTTGGGACATTCTGATTTTGAGGTTCCCTGGGACCTGTAAGTGGGACATAGAGCAGGAAGTTGTACATAAAGACAGGCAGTTGGGGCGCCTGGGTGGCTCAGTCGTTAAGCGTCTGCCTTCGGCTTAGGTCATGATCTCAGGGTCCTGGGATCGAGCCCCGCATCGGGCTCCCTGCTCCGCAGGAAGACTGCTTCTCCCTTGCCCAATCCCCCTGCTTGTGTTACCTCTCTCACTATGTCTCTCTCTGTCAAATAAATAAAATAAAAAAAAAAAAAAAAAAAAAAACCACAGGCAGTGACTGGAGCTGTCCATTGCTCTGTGCTGGGGGTCAGAGCCCCTTGTCACCAACAGAAGGGTAGATGCTCTTAGATTTTCTAGGATGAGATGACATCACCTCTCTAAACATTACAACAGATTGACTTTTCTCTTACTACAAATGCCATAAATATGCATTTTAGAAAATTTTGAAAATAATAAGAATAGCAGTCAACACTTGCAGAGTGCTTTTGATGTGCCAGGCACTATTCTAAGTGCTTTTCACATTTGAACTCATTTTAGCCTCTCCTTATGAGGTAGAAGTATTATTTCCATTTTGTTGATCAAGAAGCTGAAACTTAGGGAGGGGGGAAAGATGGCGGAGGAGTAGGGGACCCTATTTCAACCGGTCCCCGGAATTGAGCTGGAGATCTACCAGACCACTCTGAGCACCCACGAGACCAGCCTGAGATGTAAGATCTGGATCTCTACAAACAGAGTATCGCAGGCGGTTGGTTTCAAGGTACAAAGCTGGGAGCCCTGATTCCGCAGGCAGATATCGGAGGATAAACGGCAGCGGGAGGGTGCCTGGCCGTGGGGATCCTACACCCTCGGTGAGTGACAGCCTCGCATGCTGCGGACGGGCACAGACTCGCAGACCGGTAGCGGCAGGGAAAGGACTTTAGGGCAGCCCCCGGGGCGGAAACCCAGAGCGGCAGGGTCGAGCTGGCGAACTGGAAGTGGCTGGCGGTTTTAGAAGCACAAAGGGCAGAGATGTGCCCCGACCTGGAGGCGAGGACTAGGGGCCCTGCGGAGGGGCGCACAACCCAGGACGCTGCAGTTTATAGCAGCACAGACAGAAACAGAGACAGTGTGGCCTGGAGAGCTCACTGAAGCACAGACTGCGGTCTCTCTGCTCTGAGGCAGAGGGTTGGAAACCGTCTCTTCTGCTCTGACTCACGGAAGAGACGCGGAAAGCCGCCAGGGAAAGCCGCCAGAGAAGAAAAGCCCCAAAAACTGATTCCCACTGAGCCCATCCCCTGCCACAGGGGCGCAGGGCAACTCCGCCCAAACAGGGTTGCCTGAGTAACAGCGCGGCAGGCCCCTCCCGCAGAAGACAGGCTGGGAAAACAAGAGGCCAGCAACCCTAAGGTCCCAAGAAAACAGGTGCATCTTGCTTGGGTTCTGGTCAATAATTTGGACTCTATACATTCCCTCAAACACCCATCAACAGAATGACTAGGAGGAGGAGCCCCCAAAATAGAAAAGACTCAGAGATTATGACTTATGCTGCAGATTTACAAATGGATGCAGATATAACCAAGATGTCAGAGATGGAATTCAGGCTAGCAAATGTGAAGACAATGGCTAGAATGGAGAAATCAACTAATGGCAACATAGAGTCTCTAAGGGCAGAAATGAAAGGTGAATTGGCAGAACTTAAAAATGCTATCAATGAGATCCAATCCAATCTAGATAATCTAATAGCTAGGGCAACTGAGGCAGAAGAGCGAATAAGCAACCTGGAAGACAATATAATAGATAAAAAGGGAAAAGAGGAGGCGAGGGAAAAACAACTCAGAATCCATGAAAATAGAATCAGAGAAATAAGTGACACCATGAAGCGTTCCAATGTCAGAATAATTGGAATCCCGGAGGGAGTGGAGAGTGAGAGAGGGCTAGAAGATGTATTTGAGCAAATCGTAGCTGCGAACTTCCCTAATCTGGGGAATGAAACAAACATTCGCATCCTAGAGGCAGAGAGGACCCCTCCCAAGATCAAGGAAAACAGGCCAACACCCCGACATGTAATAGTAAAACTTGCAAATCTTAGAACCAAGGAAACCATCTTAAGGGCAGTTAGGGGGAAGAGATTCCTTACGTACAGAGGGAGGAACATCAGAATAATGTCAGACCTATCCACAGAGACCTGGCAAGCCAGAAAGGCCTAGCAAGACATATTCAGGGTACTAAGTGAGAAGAACATGCAGCCAAGAATACTTTATCTGGCAAGGCTTTCATTTAGAATGGATGGAGAGATGCAGAGCTTCCACGACCAGCAGAAACTGAAAGAATATGTGACCACTAAGCCAGCCCTGCAAGAAATATTAAGGGGGGTTCTATAAAAGGAGAAAGACCCCAAGAATGATATATAACAGAAATTTACAGGGGCAATCTATAAAAACAACATCTTCACAGGCAACATGATGACAATTAATTCATATCTTTCAATAATCACTCTCAACGTGAATGACCTAAACGTTCCCATAAAATGGCACAGGGTTGCAGATTGGATAAAAAGAAAGGACCCATCCATATGCTGCCTACAAGAGACTCATTTTGAACCTAAAGATACATCCAGACTGAAAGTGAAGTGAAGGGATGGAGATCCATCTTCCATGCCAGCGGACTTCAAAAGAAAGCTGGGGTAGCAATTCTTATATCAGACAAATTAGATTTTAAACTAAAGTCTGTAATTAGAGACACAGAAGGACACTCTATCATTCTTAAAGGGTCTATCCAACAAGAGGATCTAACAATTGTAAATATCTATGCCCCCAACATGGGAGCAGCCATCTACATAAACCAACTGTTAACCAAAATAAAGAGTCATATTGATATACGTTAATTGTAGGAAACCTCAGTACTCCACTCTCAGCAATGGACAGATCATCTAAGCAGAAAATCAACAAGGAAACAAAAGCTTTGAATGATCCATTGGACCAGATGGACCTCATAGATATTTACAGAACATTCCACCCTAAAACAACAGAATACTGATTCTTCTCGAGCGCACATGGAACTTTCTCCAGAATAGACCACATACTGGGCCACAAATCAGGTCTCAACCGATACCAAAAGATTGAGATTATTCCCTGCATATTCTCAGACCACAGTGCTTTAAAACTGGAACTCAATCACAAGAAAAAATTTGGCAGAAATTCAAACACTTGGAAGCTAAAGACCACTCTGCTCAAGAATGTTTCGGTCAACCAGGAAATCAAAGAAGAACTTAAACAATTCATGGAAATCAATGAGAATGAAAACACATTGGTCCAAAACCTATGGGATACTACAAAGGCGGTCCTAAGGGGGAAATACATAGCCATCCAAGCCTCACTCAAAAAAATAGAAAAATCCTGAATTCACCAACTAACTCTTCACCTTAAAGAACTAGAGAAAAAGCAACAAACAATGCCTAAGCCACACATTAGAAGAGAAATAAGAAATCAATGAATTAGAAACCAGAAACACAGTAGATCAGATCAACGAAACTAGAAGTTGGTTCTTTGAAAGAATTGATAAGATCGACAAACCACTGGCCAGACTTATCCAAAAGAAAAGAGAAAGGACCCAAATTAATAAAATTATGAATGAAAGGGGAGAGATCACGACTAACACCAAGGAAATAGAAACAATTATTAGAAATTATTATCAACAACTATATGCCAATAAACTGAGCAATCTGGATGAAATGGAGGCCTTCCTGGAAACCCATAAGCTGCCAGGACTGAAACAGGAAGAAATTGACAACCTGAATAGACCAATAACCAGTAACGAGATTGAAGCAGTGATCAAAAACCTCCCAAAAAACAAGAGTCCAGGGCCTGATGGATTCCCTAGGGAATTCTACCAAACATTCAAAGAAGAAATAATACCTATTCTACTGAAGCTGTTTCAAAAAATAGAAACAGAAGGAAAACTTCCAAACTCATTCTATGAGGCCAGGATTACCTTAATCCCCAAACCAGGCAAAGACCCCATCAAAAAGGAGAATTTTAGACCGATATCCCTGATGAATATGGATTCCAAAATCCTCAACAAAATCCTAGCTAATAGGATCCAACAATACATTAAAAGGATCATCCACCACGACCAAGTGGGATTTATCCCCGGGATGCAAGGGTGGTTCAACATTCACAAATCAATCAGTGTGATAGAACACATTAATAAGAGGAGGGAGAAGAACCATATGGTCCTCTCAGTTGATGCAGAAAAAGCTTGACAACATACAACATCCTTTCCTGATTAAAACTCTTCAGAGAATAGGGATAGAGGGAACATTCCTCAAATTCATAAAATCCACCTATGAAAAACCCACAGCGAATATCATCCTCAATGGAGAAAAGCTGAGAGCCTTTCCCTTAAGATCAGGAACACATCAAGGATGCCCACTCTCGCCGCTATTGTTCAACAGAGTATTAGAAGTCCTAGCAACAGCAATCAGACAACAAAAAGAAATAAAGGTATTCAAATTGGCAAAGAAGTAGTCAAACTCTCTCTTTTCACAGATGACATGATACTTTATATGGAAAACCCAAAAGACTCCACCCCCAAATTACTAGAACTCATACAGCAATTCAGTAATGTGGCAGGATACAAAATCAATGCACAGAAATCAGTTGCTTTCTTATACATTAACAATGCAACTGTAGAAAGAAATTAGAGAAACGATTCCATTTAAAATAGCACCAAAACCCA